CATCCCTCAGGAGTGCATGCTGACTAGCTGCCAGCATTGCCAAGTTCAGAGAGTTCTTTTTTCTACCTCATGACAGGGTTCCTCCGTGTAGCCCTGGGTGTCCTCGAATTCAGAGACACACCAGCCTCTGCCTCTATGATCAAAGGCATATATCATCACTGCCTGGCCAGAGAGTTCTTAAAATCAACTGATCCTCAGAACTGTCAGCCTTGTTCTGGGGACTGACTAGTCCATGTATCAAAGATTGCTCCTAGAAAGCCTTTCCTATAATGAAGAAACGCTCATTTTCACGGGGGTCTGAAATGAGCTCTTTCTACTTGGAGGGAGTCAGGATATTGATCTGTGGGAAGAATGCTAGGGGAAGCTAGGGAAGAAGCTCCTGAAGGAGTAGTGGGTGGGAGTCACACACAGGTAGTCTCCTCCTGCGCTCTTTGTTCTGTGATTACCTCAGGGCATTTTGGTAAGGAGGCTGGAGAGATTTCTTGGCATTAGTCAAATGCTATTAATACATTAATTACAGCAGGTTCATTTACCATTAAGACAGGTCCTGCAGAGCCTCCCTTTGGCATCTGTTGATGTTCTGCTTTAGAAATAAAGTCTGTTGTAGGAGGAGGGCCCGCTTGTTCGTCCTGGCTGCCTGACTAGCTTATACCCAAAATAATCTCACAGGAACTGTATTAACTAAATCACTGCTTAGCCCATTAATTCTAGCTTCTTATTGGTTAACTCTTACATCTTATTTTAACCCATTTCTATTAATCTATGTTTCACCACGTGGCAGTGGCTTACCGGCTATAGTTTCAGCATGTCTTACTCTGACGTTGGCCCCATGGTGTCTCTATCTCTGCCTTCCTTCTCCCAGCATTCAGTCCAGCTTTCCCCACCTACCTAAGTTCTGCCCTATCAACAGGCCAAGACAGTTTCTTTATTCATTAACCAATAAAAGCAACACATAGACAGAAGGACCTCTCACACCTTAACTTTCTTGTGGTCAGCCCACCTTTATGTTGGATTTAGCAGATCCCGCCTGTCTCCTGGCAGTGAAGGTTAGGTGGTGATAGGGTGAGGGAGGTGTGACACACTTCAGAAAGCAGTCAGCGGGAACTGGGGAGATAGCACAGCTTGTTAAATGTTTGTTGCACAAGCGCAAGGACTTGAGTTCATCCCAGAACCCATGTATAAAAGCTGGATGTGATGGCACATGTATAGTCCCAGCATCAGAAAGGCAGACACAGGCAGATAGATCCCTGGGGCACTCTGATCAGACAACCTTAGTTTCTTAGAGATTCATGGATGCTGGGGTATTATGTTACCTGTTCTTGTCAGGGGATATCTATTTCTAGCAGTGGAATCTCTGTTTAGCATTAGTTTTAGATTAATGGTACAAATGTTCTTTCCTTCACATTACTTTTGTCCTATAATAGTGGTTCTCAACTTTCCTAATGCTATAACCCCTTAATACAGTTTCTTATGTTGTGGTGACCCCCAACCATAAAATTATTTTGTTGCTACTTCATAACTATAATTTTGCTACTGTTATTGTAATACAAATACCCGATAGGCAGATGGTCTTTGGTGACCCCTGAGAAAGGGTTGTTTGACCTTGGAATTGTGACCCACAGTTTGAGAGCCACTGCCTTAGAAATACCTGGTTTATGAGAAAACAAAATGGCAGCCACCCAGTCAAGAACAGTATTAGGTTGGAAGACGGAGATAGGAGTCACTTGTTTTCACTGAGGGTGGATCCCTGAGGCCAGGAAGCAGGGTTGACCAATCCCCTAACTTTCTGAGGAGCCGGGAGGGCAGAATGATCCTTTGTTTAGCCATGGACTGAGATTGTCTTGAGATGGTCACAGGACTTTTTTGAAGAGGGAGCTATTGAGTAGAGTAGAATAATACGTTACTAATATACTTCACAAAGCCAACAGTATTTGTCTTGGTTAGAGTTTCTATAGCTGCAGTGAAACTCCACGACCAAAAAGGAAGTTGGGGAGGAAAGGGTTTGTTTGTCTAACACTTCCACATTGCTGTTCATCACTGAAGGAAGTCAAGGAGATAAACTCAAACAGTGATGGATCCTGGAGGCAAGAGCTGATGCAGAGGCCATGGAGGGGTGCTGTTTATTGGCTTAATTTCTCTGGCTTACTCAGCCTGCTTTGTTATAGAACCACCAGTCCAGGACTGGCACCACCTGGGCTGGGCCCTTCCGTATTGATCACTAATTGAGAAAATGTCTTACAGCTGTTTCTCATGGAAGTACTTCCTCAACTGAGGCTCCTTCCTCTCTGATGAATCTAGCTTGTGTAAAGTGGACACACAAAACGAACCAGTACAGTATTTATTAAACAACACTATCTACCAGACCTAAGTTATGTACTGTAGATATGTTAGGGAACATTCCAGCTTCCAGTTAGTAATCTGCATTATGGGAAGATATAAAACAACCATTTGTCTTTGCAGAGTCTGTGGGTTGGGAGTTCATACATATAGTCCAAATATTTAATTTTCCCTACATAGTGTTTGAAATCTCAGTTTTAAGATTATGTAGCCAAAAACTGAAAGTCTAATTGACTTGCATGTCTGATTGTTGATAGACCTATATTTTGCCATGTGTCCTAGGGTTCCCCTACAACATGGTTGTTGATTACAAAGGAGCATTCCAAGAGACAAAAACTAGACCTGCTTTGTGGCCTAGCCTCTGACGTCACAGGAATCACATTTACCATGTTCTGTTAGCTGGAGTAGTGATGAAGCCCTAGTCAGATCCAAAGGGAGGGGATATCCCTTCTTAAAATATATGTGTGTGTGTGTGTGTGTGTGTGTGTGTGTGTGTGTGTGTGTGTAAGAGAGGGTTAGAGATGGATCAGTGGTTAAGAGTGAATAATGTTTCAGAGGATCCAATCTTGATTCCTGGCACCCATGCCAGGTGGTTCTTAACAACCAGTTACTCCAGTTCCGGGTGATCCAACACTTTCTCTGGCCTTCAGTGGTGCTGTACTCATGTGTACATATCCGTGCAGACAGACAGACAGACAGACACACACAAATGAAAAAAAAAAACAAAAGAAATGTTAGAGAGACTTGAAAAACTGAGAAAGTATTAACAAAGAACAAAGTGAGAATAAAAATAACTCAATTTTCAAAATGAAAATTTAACAAATTGAAGTAAAAACATGTTAAATAGAAGATTTATATTAGTATATGAAAAGATTAGGAAAGTGTAAATTGTATTAAAATAAATCAACTAGAATATGTTAGAATGCAGCTGAGATGTTTGAAAATAAAAATAACATGACAAATAGAATGACAAGTGAGGACTGGTAAGATGGCTCAGCAGGTTAAGGGCCCCTACAAGTTATCCTTTAACCTTCACACATATGCTATGGCACCTGCACCCCTCTCCCCTCAAAATATATAACAAACAAGCAAATAAACGTTAAAAAGTATGGAACTTCTGGTCAGGTCTACAGCAGAGCCTGTAGGGATATTTACCTTCTCATACAGGAATTCTGCTGAAGGTTGACAAAAGGTTACTTTACCAAAATTTTCTCTGCCAAGCTTCTCTTAAGTCACCTACACATGCTGAGCTATTTAGTGGGTTCCTCACTGTCAGAGAGGACAGAAAGCAAACATGTCCACCCAAGAATAGCATGTAGGTGAGGACCAGGCTAGGGAAGGAAAAATTCCACATGGCCAGTCAGGTATGAAGGGACCAGGGCCACCTAGAGCCTTCAGTCCATATGGTAAAGTGATGCCAGACACATCACCCTCTCACAGGTCAGAGACTGATCTAGAAGTGGTGTTTTCCCATTTTAAATGGCAGAGCAGGACTGGGTAAGACATAGTTATTTGACCATAAATACTGGTTAGCTCTGTTTATACTCCAAAGATAAATTGCCCAAAAGAAGACAGTGTGGTCTGTGTTCTTCTGCTGTGGAAGCTATTGATTTATTTCCTGGGCATATTTCATTGAGCTGGATCTAATTCAAGAGGACCTATGTCAAGTCTGCAGATTTGTCCCTTGGGAGTCAGAGGCTGAGATTATCAAGGTCTCAGAACAGTGTCTGGCTGTGCAATTTAAAGTCAGGGGGATACTTAGACAGGGTGTGGCTACTAATCTTGCCTGCTTTGCTGGCTGCTGCCAAAATCCTTTAGCCTCACTCAGGGAAGGCATCAGTTTGGATTCTTGTTGCCTTGGCCATACTGCAGAGATCTAAGTCCAGGTAACCATTAACCAACTGTGCGAGAGTGGATGGGCAACACTGGATTTTGGATGAAGTATCAAGACCTTTGCCTGAGCCAGGCTGGACAGCGTCTGCTGATCAATCCTGGTCCTCTTGGGAAAGCTCGTCCATCATACCCAGAGGAGAGGCCCAGAGTAGTTCTTATTGAACACTGGGTTTCACCACAGATGGCTCTTGTGATTATTTTTCATTGTCAACTGCATTTAGAATCCTCTACGAAACACAACTCTGAGCATGTCTGTGAGGATATTTCCAGAGAGGATGGAAGGGCTGCTCTGATTTGGGTAACACCATGCCATGTGCTAGGGTCTCTGTAAGGACAGAGTTGAGTACCAGCGTTCATCTCTCTTTGTGACCAGCTGCCTCACTTGTCCACTTCCATATTTTTGGACTGCATCTCTTCTTAAACTCTGAACCCAGATATACCTGTTTTTTTCTTAGTTGTATTTTATTTGTTTTTTTTTCTAAGTTTTTATTGATACTTTTAAATGTATGTAAGTCATAAAGCATTAGCAGAAACTTATGCTTGTAGAATGGTCCTCTTGTCTGCCCATGCTCTTCCTTCTCATGTTTTTCCAACTGTAGACCAAATCATAGATGATGGTCCCTTTTCTGGTCACATAGCTCTTAGTTTAATGAGCAGAATCAGACAGCCTGACTCCTCAGACTCTTCAAAGAACCTTGAGACCTGCAGAAGTAAAGTTTTTCATTCCCAGGGACGAAACACTTGTCTTAGGGGGAAGCCCCAGTCCCTACATATATAGGTAAAACAAGTGGCAGTTGCAATCACTGTTTTGATCTGGGCTGTCAAATTTTCTCCAGTTATTCAGGCATGTAGTTGGAGATTCTATGGCTACAGCCAGCTATTCGCTTGGAAAACTGCTGCTTTTATTTATTTGTGAAGACAGACTCTTACTATGTAACATTGTCTAACCTAGAAATTGCTATATATACTAGGCTAACTTGGACTTGGCAGTGATCCTCCTGCCTCTGCCTTTCAAATGGTTAAGATTATAGGCGTGCATCACCATGCCTGGCTCTTTAAATGACTTTTATCAAGAAAAACTAGTACTGTCTTGGATAATTTTTCCCAAGAATTGATTATTTTCCCTTATTGTACAAATGACCTCTTTGTTATCAGTTTTCTTTGGGCCATTAGCTCATAAAAAAACAACATGGAGACTTATTATTATGAAAGCTTTGCCTGTAGCTTCACTAGCTCTTATAAATTAAATTAACCCATTTATATCAATCTATTTCTCCTCGTGACTTTTTACCTCTTTTCCATTCTTGCACATTCTGTTTTCCCTTTGTGTTGTCCACGTTCATCTTCTCTTCTCTCTCTGCCCAGAAGTCCTGCCTAACCTCTTCCTGCCTAGCTATTGGCCGTTCATTTCTTTATTAAACCAATCAGAATGTGCCTTGGCAAAGACATATCTTCACAGTGTGCAAAAAGATTATTCCACAATACCTCTTGGTGTGAGTACCTGCAGAACAGTGAGTCTCTAAGCCATGGTGGGTGAGGGCAGGGACAGTATTTTGAGGCCCTCCTTGAGCACACTTATCTGACTGTGACTGACGTGCTCTGTTCATCTCAACATTTGACTGTTGTCATAGGAACAGTAGCCCATTCTCTTTCCTTAGATGTGGGCACAGGTCATTTTGCCTGGGGTACTGTTCTGACTTGTGACCTTGGCCTTTTCTTTTATAAAACATTTGTTTGTTTGTTTGTTTATTTATTTATTTGTTTGTTTATTTATTTGAGACAGGGTCTCACTATATAACTCTGGCTTTCCTGGAACTTACTATATAGAACAGGCTGGGCTCGAACCCACAGAGATCTGCCTGTCTTTACCTTATGAGAGCTGGAGTTAAAAGCATATGCCGTTACTCCTGGCTCTTATTTATTTTATGTCTGTTTGAATTCTTGTGCTTGCTGTGTTATATAAAGAGGTCAGAGAACAACATGTGGAGTCAATTCCTTCTATCCTATAGATTCTAGGGATCAAGCTTGGGTCATCTGGCTTGGCAACAAGTGCCTTTACTCCCTGTGCCATCTTGCAGCCCTGACCTTGTGATTTGACTGGCATGTTCTAGGTCTTAAGTGAGAACAAATATTGAATTGTGCCAACCTCTTGCCCAGCCTTCATGCTCCTCCCACACAATCTAGCCAATTAGTCCCACATCCCCCATTTGTCATTCCCATGTGAAGTTGCACTAGCTCTTCCTCCACAGTTCTCTCAGGAAGTCGTGAGGGAGATAGCGTTAGCAAGCCCTGTTACAGACCTGGAAATAGGCCAAGTGATTTAACAGAGGTCATAACATTACTGTACGTGGTAGAGCTAAGTCTCACAGCTCACTCTTGTCCATATACCATCATGTCAGTCTGCTGGGGCTGCTCCAACAAAATGCCACTTGCAGCTAATCAACAGAAACTTACTGTCTAACTGCTCCAGAGATTGTAAGACCAACATCAGGGTGTCTTTAGGAATGGTTTCTGGTGAACCCTCTTCCTGACTTACTGTATCCTCACATGACCTTCCTTCTGACTCCCATTGTTAATTCCTCTTCTTATAAGAACACAAGACCCACAGATTAGGGCCGCATCCTGATGACCTCAGATACTGTTAATCACCTCCCCAAAGTCTTGTCTCTCAATATTATCACATTGAGAGTTAAAGCTTTGATGGGAAGGACATAGTTTTAGTCCTTAACACATCCTGTGCCCTTTAACTGTTTTGGATGCTGTGATTGTACAAGGAGGTGTAATCAGAGAAGTTATTTAGAGAATTTTTTTATAGGAGCCCACAGGTGGGACTGAGGTAATCTAAGGCTTTCTGAAGGAGTTATGTGTGCATGCACACATACTAGGATGAGGATTGTGTCTACATTTAGGGGAATCTGGTTAATTTCAGGTTTGCTCCATCTGCTATCCACTAGTCAGTAACTCAGATGAACTGGAGCTGTTATTCCCAGAACTGACTTCTCCCCATGGATGGGGCAAAGGATCCTTGAGTCTCTGTCTAGCCTAGCAAAGCTAATGTAGGTTGATGTACCCAACCATGTAGCACTTCTGTGACTTAGTGTGGAAGGGGATAGGATGCCAGCTGGACAGGGAAATCAAGGACAGAAATTGAGGTGCCTTCCCTTAGTGATATAATTCCATTTGTGGCAAGTAGCTCTGACTGTTCTGACCCGGGCTACTATGGAGAATTATTTTGTTATTTTATTTTACAAAGATGACCTGAGTTGGGACAACATTTCACCTGGAAATAAATTCACTAGTCATCTCCACCCAGTGTCTTCTTCTTCTTCTCATCAGACTGGATAAGGATATTGAAGGCAATGGACAGGCTAAGAACATTTCAATTTCTTCAGTGTTCTGTGTAATGAAGGTGATGTTCCTGGGACAGAGTTTTTGGTTCATACAACATGAGGGATAGATTCAAGCTTTGCAAATCACAGTGGGTTAACCTGGCTAGTAACAGAAAGGAATGCTGAGGGAGACTGAGGGAAGTCTAAGGAGGGTAAGAGACTGAGATTTATCTTCTTATTCTTCAAGCTTCAACAGCCATCAGTTCATCTACCCCTTCACTCTCAAAGACCTGTCATGTGCAGGACTTTGCTTTTAATCCTGGAGAAGGCAGCTATGAGAGCATAGGCCAGCACTCCACCCAAGTTCTAAGTTGAAGATGATAGGGAATTAATAAACAGTCAGACAGATTTCCCAAACCACCCATATTTAGTACCTCTGAGGAGGTCCCATGTAAGTAAAGTTGATCCTGAATGACCAGCTCAGCATTGTCTCTTGTGCCCTTGGGAACATAGCCAGGACGAGACAGTCTTGCACAATTCTGGCTTCTTGGGAAAACAAAATTAGGTTCTTAGAACCAAGGTATTTAATTTATGTTCTATACCCCAGAAGTAGTTCTGTTGACTTCAGAACCTCAAACTGTAACTCTCAAATGTCCTTCTAATGAAGATGGCCTAGGATACCTCCAGGAAGCAAGTATGAATAGTATTCTATAAGGAAAAAATGTCTAGCATTTCTACCATCTTGAGGTGAATAGTCTTCTGTGTAGTAGGAGGCTGCTTGTTCATCCCAGTCACCCAGAACCGAAATAATCACACAGAAACTGTATTAATTAAATCACTGCTTGGCCCACTAGCTCTAACTTCTTATTGGCTAACTCTTACATCTTAATTTAACCCATTTCCATCATTTTATATTTTACTATGAGGTTCGTGGCCTATCAGCAAGGTTCTGGCATGTCGGTCTCTGGTGGTGGCTGCATGGCTTCTCCCTGTGTCCACGTCCTATCTTCAGCATTCAGTTTAGTTTTCCCTGCCTAGCTCTACTCTACCCTATCACGGGCTCAAGACAGTTTATTAACCAGTGGTATTCACAGCATACAGAGCGGAATCCCACATAACTTCTGTAGTCAGACTTTTTCTGTCTCACCTGCCAGCTCCCAAATAGCTACATGGAGACTTCTTATTAATTATGAAAGCTTGGCCAATATCTTAGACTTGTTTCTTTTCTCTTTTTTAATTTTTAAAACAATCTTATTCTACATACCAAACCCAGTTTCCTCTTCCTCTCGTCCTCCCACTCCTCCCACTTTCTTTCCACCCTACCCCACCCCAGTCCCCATCCACTCCTCAGAGAGGGTGAGGCCTTCCATGGGGAAATCAACAAAGTCTATCACATCACTTGAGGCAGGACTAAAGCTCTTGTTCCTATATTTAAGCTGAGTAAGGTATCCCTCCTTAGGGAATGGTCTCCAAAGAGCCAGTTCATGCCCTAGGGATAAATTCTAGTTCCACTGCTAGTGGTCCCATCAACTGCCCATGCCACACAACTGCCACTCTCCTTCAGAGGGCATAGTTTGGTCTTATACTGGTTCCTCAGCTGTCATTCCAGGGTTAGTGAGTGCCTACTAGCTTGAATCAGCTGTTTCTGTGAGTATTTGCACCATGGTCTTGACCCCTTTGCTTGTAATTTCTGGACTCTAGGAGTTTGGACCAGTGCTTCGCTGTGGATCTCTGCATTTGCATCCATCAGTTACTGGGTGAAGGTTCTATGATGACAATTAACGTAGTCATCAATCTGATTACAGGGGAGGAACAGTTTAGGTATACTCTCTACTATTGCTTAGATTCTTCTTTGTGGTTTCCTGGGAGTTTTTCTAGTGCCTGGTTTCTCACTAACCCCACAATGGTTCTCTCTTTCAAGATAATCTCTTTCCTTGCTTTCCCTCTCTGTCCTTTACCCAGTTCAGTCTTCTGGATCCCTCATGTTCTTCTCTCCTTTCCCCCTTTCCCTCCCCACTTCCCTACCACTCTCCCCATTCCCTCCCATTCTGCTAATTTACTAAGGAGATCTTCTTAGACTTGTTTCTAACTAACTCTTGTAACTTAAATTAACCCATTTCTATTAATTTACTTTCTGCTTCGTGACTTCATTACCTTTACTCTGTACTGCTTTCCTGCTTCCTGTCTCTGACTGTTTGTGACTCCACTCTTCTTCTTCCCAGCATTCTCTCTGCCCCCAAAACCCTGCATAGCTATTGGCCATTCAGCTTTTTATTAAATCAATCATAGTGACACATATTCACATTATAAAAAAAGATTATTCCTCAACATTTCACATTTTTGTCTAAATAAGACAAAAAAGTGTGGTTTTTTCGTTTATTTTTTTCTTTTTTGAGACTGGGTTTCTCTGTAGCTTTTGAGCCTGTCCTGGAACTAGGCCGGCCTTGACTTCACAAGGATGCACCTGCCTCTGCCTCCTGAGTGCTGGGATTAAAGGGGGTGCCACCACCACCCAGCTAGAAGGAAAGGTTTTAACTCTAGCAAAGTAAAACTGTAAACAATAAGAGCAA